GTCCCACGCTCCGGCACATCTGCCTATCTTGAGCGGCGAGGACCTTATCTGTGGTCTCCCACTAAGGGACTATTTTAGGAGGCGGGGAACGATCTCAAGTGACTGACTCAGGTAGTGTGCACTTAGATTACATGTTTTTGAGCACTGCACCCATGTCGCCTTAGATAACAAAATCCTAAATATAAATTATCGCTCTCGATTCATTTACTTAAGATATGAACGGAGCCGAAAATTGTAAGTCTTTAAATATATTCGTGTTCATGTGTGAACAAATAGCATTTACCACCGCTAACGTCTCCAGTTCGTATGAATGGTATTTAGATTCGGCGGGAGACGTACACTTACTGTAATACTCTACAACATGATGTTTATTGTCAATTTTATGTAACAGGATCGCTCCATACCCAATACAACTTGCGTCAGTATGCAGCTCGATTGGGTATTGCGGATCAAATATGATTAAAACTGGCATCTGAGTCAATATAGTTATTATTTTTATTCGTACCTGTTCATGCTCTGGTAAACAAAAAGGAAAATCCAGCCTTACTTAATGTATCCAATACTGTCTGCAATCTATCTAGCGCATTTCTTTGCTTTCTGCTATTATGAGAACATCATCAGTATACACAACGCATAAGTGTTAGCTAAAGGTCCTAGGGCCTTCATTATAGACCGCTGATACACAGATGGTGCGTTCTTCAAACCAAACGGCATTGTCAATAACGCGTATTGACCCTCTGGCGTTACAAATGCAGTTCGTTCGATTGAGTCCTCATGGACTGGAATTTGGTAAAAGCCGCTTGCCATATCTATGCACGAAAAATATTTAGTACCCCGAAGCCTAGCAATTTGGTCTGAGATGAGGGGCAATGGATACTTGTCAGCCACTGTGTTTTCGTTTAGCATGCGATAGTCCACACACAGTCGATCGGTGCCATTCTTTTTTTTAACTAGCATCATGGGACTAGCGAAAGGAGAACAGCCGAATAATCTTAGCTTTTAGTATTTCGTCAACTTTACCCCGCACTTTGATTTTCTCTTCTTCACTACGCCGATCTTTTGCTGATCTATTAATCTAATTTCCAACTGCCCTGTGGTGACCCTAGTCTTTGGTATTCCATCAATAAATCAATCTGAATAACATTTTAGAATTTTTTTCAAGGCTGCCTTATCAAGATCATCAAGTTCACGATTTGATTCGATGACATATTCATAATTGGTAATTACTAACGATTCTACTCTTTTGGTTGTGTAAATTTGAAATTTGTCAGCGTCCATGGTTACGCCAAAGCCCTGGCCTAAAATTTCACAACCAATTAGTACGTCATATTTCAAATACTTGTCCATAATAACATGTAACAAAATCTCAAAATAACATTGATCAATATTTATATTACATAATAGTTGTTGAGTGCTGCATATTGAATCATTACTTATGCCGTTCAATTTAACAATGTTATTAATTCTTTTACCACTAAATTTGTCGGCGACGCTTTCCTTAACCAAGGAACATTCAGCGCCAGAGTCGAAGCAAAATGGAACAGACTCACCGGTTGAACTTCTTATGGTTCCTGATGGTGGAGCTACAGTACAGATGTCAAAAGCTTTCTCGGTTACTTGGTCGTTTTCTCGTGATCGTCCTTTTGGACAAGCTGATGCGAAGTGCCCAAGCTCGTCGCACTTGAAACATTTGACTGTTGACTGACCGGTCTTTTGATCCTTGCGTTGAATTTCCGTTGTGGCTTTTTCGGCATATTTATGTCCAGTCTTTCCACAATAATTGCATTTCACTTGAGAGAGATACTTCGACTTTTTACGCTCTGGGCTTTGTAGATGCGTCGTCATCAAGGTTCCGTTTTTTAAAAGTGTGCGCTTGTAGTTGTTGTGACATGTCATTTCGAGTTTTTTATATTGTTTGTAAAAATCAGCGCGACAATTAGTCATCAATTTGTGCCATGTGGGTCAGAGTAAGTTAAACCGCAATTTCCTCCAGATCAATAGATTTAAATTTTGACATAAGTAAGGTGACGATTCGGCTCCCATATTCGGTGTAACTTTCTCCAAACTTTGGTCGCCCGTTCAAAACTTTCATCAGTGTGGCAGCAGACGTTTCGATGCCAACAAAGCGTTGAACGAAGAGTTCCTTAAATTGTGGCCATGTTATGCCAGCAAAGCATATTTGGGACAGCCATTTCGATGCACTTCCCTCTGGCGCCTTACTTAAAGTTATCATCAGGCTGCTACCTTCGGGCATTTTATCAGGAAAAATTAGATCCACTATTGTACACCAAGCTGAGGCATCTTCACCAGCTCCCTCAGGATGAAATTTTGGGAGAGTTATATGTTTTCCCTCTTCATCAGTTGCCGATGCCTTTGGTGTCTGCATATTTTTGATGATCTCCAAAAGGTTGTTGTTTTGCACTTGTAAAGCTGCCAGGTATGCATCGGTGATATTTGTAGGCAAAGCAGATCCCACTTCTGATGTCACAGTGTTGTTATTTTCTTGTGTATGATCTGCCATGTTGACACACAAACTTTTCGAGTGAAGCGAATTCCAACCGGCGTGTGCAATCGTCTGAATGCAACTGCTCGCATTTTGCGACACCGTCGCCTCACTCGTTTCGGTACTTTGGCGCCAGTCTTATTCTGCGTCGTAGTCAAATTCTAAGAATGATTTCACAATATAACAAACTCATTGCGCAGCAGCGTCTTGCAAGCGCAGTGTTCATAATGTGAAAGACACGTACGGTGGTACGTACATACATTCGTAATGCGACATATATATAAAATATATAAAGAAAATACGGGAACTGTGTTCCGTCAAACTTACTTCCGGAGCGATGAGATCTCGACGCGTTGGATCCTGGTTGTTGCCATGCATGCTGATGGGATTAAACATACATTAAAAATGTAATACACATAAAAAGTACACAAAGCAATGTTCACACATGAACACGAATATATTTAAAGACTTACAATTTTGGGCTCCGTTCATATCTTATGTAAATGAATCGAGAGCGATAATTTATATTTAGGATTTATCTAAGGCGACATGGGTGCAGTGCTCAAAAACATGTAATCTAAGTGCACACTACCTGAGTCAGTCACTTGAGATCGTTCCCCGCCTCCTAAAATAGTCCCTTAGTGGGAGACCACAGATAAGGTCCTCGCCGCTCAAGATAGGCAGATGTGCCGGAGCGTGGGACCTCGATAGGGCGGGGACTACCTACTTAGGCCTCTGCGTAGGCCATTTACTCTAAGATGCGATTCTCATGTCACCTATTTAAACCGAAGATATTTCCAAATAAAACCAGTTTCTTACAAAAACTCAACGAGTAAAGTCTTCTCATTTGGGATTTTACATTTGGTCCTTCGAGCCGGATTCGACTTTGCAGTTTCCCCCTATATGGTAAGGGATTCAGAGAAAGGCCAGCTCCTTTAAGCATTGCTAAGTTAATCTTGCAGCTAAAGGTAGCAAAAATAATTGACTCTTGTTTCCCCCTACCAAAGGTAAGGAACAGAGTATAAATATAAAAAGCAAAAAGATACAAAAGAATCTTTTATGTTTTAAATAAAACAAGCACCTTATAGTCTATAGCTAAAGGTTGCTTTGTGTACCATTATAAATTGTGGTAAGGCGTGTTGAGGCCATACATCAGCAATTGTGAATTTTACAGTAAAGATTTCCCATCAAGATATATATGTGTATTCAGCCGCTATCTGATTCTCAAATTACTTGAATCCCGCACTTCTTTTGGAGGTTATTGTTGTTATTTTGTTTTTGCTGGCATTCGTAAACGAAATGCATAGGCTCAATATTTTTGTTTGTATGTTTCCTTTTTTGTTGCCGGCTGTTTTATGCTCGGACGTAACTATTCGAGTTTATTAGATTTTTATTGCCACTGCACTGCTCATATATGCTAAGCGGACTCCGCCTTTTGGTCATAATTGGACATAATCTTTTCCAATATATGGTGATGGTCACAACGCCGCTGCACTGACCGCTCGTAGGTCTTCACTAATCTGAATATAACCAAAAACAACAACAATACCGCGATGAAATCAAAGGTATGCTGTACGCCTAGGATCTCGTCTGTGCGGTCGATCACTTCCACGGTGTTGATCACATTGGCTGTATTGTCGAAGGTCTTGGACTCCTTGAGGCTTCTTGTATGTTGCCCTGAATTGTCGGTCTTCGCAAGCCGCCCGCTTGACTTCCTCTCTGTTGGTTTCTTTACGAGGTGTCCTTTTGCCTACCGCTTATCATTCCCAGGACTGAGGAATGCCGGAATTTTGTACATGATTGGAGCGACGATGTCCTCTCCGGACTTCATGACTACGAAATCACGACTTTCTTTTTTGGACGGAAATCCCTTGTCTCTTAAAACGGTCTTCCCCCGAGAATGACACCTCCCGGAAAGAAAAGAAAAAATTTCAATGTGAACGATTGCGGCCGTTCATCAGACACTCGTTTATTGACGAACTGCATTTTCTTGGTTGCATTCCGTATGACTCAACGAAATGGTTGTCGCCCTCACCTGCTTTAGATTCTAGCTTGTTTTATGTGCGAATTTTCAATGTCTTATGATTGATAATGATTATGATTTTATGATTATGATTTTATAATTTATTTCCCCCAATTTCTACCGATATTCCAGAAAATGTTGATAGTCGGCGAACTCGACTATAGCAATCTCTCTTGTTTTATTTTAAGCTAATTGCTTCAAGGCATCCATGGGATAAGATCGTATGATTTTCTACCTCGAACTCAATGCACATTTCAAATCTACATCTTTTTGACTGACAACTTTTAATACCTTTTGCGAGAGAATAAAATATTAATATTATTTGACCAATATAATCCCAGAAGGGAATAGCATTGGTCCCTGAAACCAAAAAAACCTATGTACAATAAACAAGCAAAAAACAAAAGAAAAAGATTTTATAATTAAAACACAGTTTTAGACGCAAAGGTAGCTTTCTTTCTTGTGTTAGATGTCATGTCATATGTTGAAATATGTAGCCCCAATTTACGTTTTCGTCTAAGTAGTTATAAGGAATCTTCTTTCTTATTTTCGTAGCTGACGCAGATGATTGGGGCAAAGTTTATCCAAACTTGTCTGGAGATGGTGCCCTTGGTATGCTTATTAATCGTAAAGCAGATATATGCATTGGAGCTATGTACTCGTGGTCCGAAGATTACAAATACTTAGACCTCTCCATGTATCTTGTACGTTCTGGAATAACATGTCTTGTACCAGCGCCTTTGCGGCTGACCAGTTGGTATCTTCCCTTAAAGCCTTTCAAAGAAATTTTATGGGTCGCAATTCTATTATGTCTATGTATGGAAGCCGTAGGATTGGTTTTAGCATATAAAAGTGAGCAAGCGCTGTATGTAGTGCCTAGTTACCGTGAGGGCTGGTGGACTTGCATAAGGTTCGGAGTATTTACCACCTTTAAACTTTTCATATCGCAATCGGAAAACAGCAAGGCATATTCACTTACAGTTCGTGTACTACTCTTTGCCTGCTTTGTTAATGATTTAATCATAACCAGCATATATGGAGGCGGGCTTGCCAGTATATTAACAATTCCCAGCCTGGACGAGGCAGCCGACACAGTCCAGCGTTTACGATTGCACCAATTACAGTGGGCGGCCAACTCTGAGGCATGGGTGTCTGCCATACGCGCTTCTGATGAGGTAAGTGTTTTTTATAAACAACACTATTCTTTTTGTAGCATAAATTTATTTCTATAAAAGCCATTAGTGAAAGATATATTGCACAATTTCCACATCTATAGTGACGATGAGTTGCTACGCTTAGCCCAAGAACAGCATATACGCATTGGATTTACTGTGGAGCGTCTGCCATTCGGTAATAACAAGTATTAGTTATAAAAACCTATATTTTATTTTTGTTGATCTGTAGGTCACTTTGCTATCGGGAACTATTTGGGGCCTCAAGCGATTAGCCAGTTAGTTATAATGAAGGACGATCTTTATTTTCAATATACGGTGGCTTTTGTTCCCAGAATTTGGCCTCTCCTCGAAAAATTCAATACTCTGATATATAGCTGGCATTCTTCTGGCTTCGATAAATACTGGGAATACCGTGTCGTTGCTGATAACTTAAATCTGAAGATACAGCAACAAGTACAAGATACAATGACTGGAATTAAAGATATTGGTCCGGTTACGCTTGGAATGTCAAACTTTGCGGGATTTATAATTATCTGGATATTGGGGTCTGCTATAGCTACGTTTATTTTTTTGGTAGAGCTGATATTTACAAATATTTTATAACAGAGCAACTTGATATACGTTTTTTATAATAATTATAGCTTATTAATAGTTTCTTGATTCTAACCGACCGATTTTGTAAAATGAAGTTTGAGTAAACGAGCGTGAATATTTGTTTTTGTAATAGGTACATTGGAAAGAGTTTAAAGTTTCTTATAGTCTAGCCACGCTTCTTCATATAGTTGTTTGGTACAAAATGGTCGATGCGATAAATTCTGAGAAGTTCTTGGCCCGTGACCACCAAACACCTATTCCAGCATTAGAGTCAATGATCAAGTATTTCACCCATCCTGTCATCCTGTTCTCCTTGCCGAATGTCGTCGTCAAATTTATTCACGCCCAGAACTGTAGTGTACAGGGTTTCCCCTTTTTATGTTGGGGTCTTATACAACCCACTTTGGCTAGGCTCGGTTCTAACTCGTTGGATGTCCGGGTTCTTCCTTGCTGGCGGGTACGATGCACTTTTTTTGGACACGTAATCAGCGAGGCTTGGATCCATACCGACCCCGACAAGGTCGGCGCCATATGGGAGCTGATGCCGCCGACGAATCTTAAGGAGCTCCGCCGCTGTCTCAGCATAGCGTCTTGGTACCGGAGTTTCGTGTCAAACTTCGCCGACGTGGTTGAGCCACTGACCGCCCTCCTCAAAAAAGATCGTAGGTGGCAATGGACGACAAAGCTGGACAGGCCTTCCAAGCCAGAAGGGTTTACTCACCGAAGCACCGACTTCAAGGAGACATTTGTACTGCAGACAGACGTTAGCGATTATGGTAATGGGACCGTACTCACCCAGACCCAGAGGAACAGGAGCGAGTTATCTAATATAGCCGGATGACTACTGGCGAACAGAACTGCCGATAGTTTGGGCAGTTCGCAAGATGCACTGCTACCTCGAGGGATACAAATTCGAAGTTCTCACTAACCACCACTCGCTCAAGTGGCTAAACTCTATAGACAACCCCACGGGCAGGGTAGCTTGGTGGGTCTTGAAATTCCAAAAATTCCAATACGACATAATGTATCCACGCGGGACGCAGAACCTGGTCGCCGACGCGCTGTCACGCCAATCGCTTGCCACAGTACAACAGGCACTGGTCAAGAACAACTCCTGTAAGTTGATTAATAAAATGCTGCGGAAAATCGACCAGGAGAGACCTGGGCGTACGCAAGCATGTTTTGCTTGCATGTTTCTAGGGTTGCCTAGAAATACTACTGGCCCGGATTATTCCGGGAGGTAGCGATCTACGTGCGACGGTGTCTCAGCTGCCAGAGATACAAGGTAAGCCCGGAGAAACCAGCCGAAGAATGTTTACCCGCCAGGTGGACGAGCCTTTTCAGATACTCTGCGCGGACTTTGTGAGACCCCGTATCGCTTGTGAGGCGTTCTGCAAGTCCGTGGGAATGGAATTACAGCACACCGCGCCTTACACGCCGCGACAAAATCCCACAAAACCGAACCGTGAAGACCATGATAGCGCAATATCTTGTTGACACGCCGCAGAACACATGGGACCAGCTACTCCCAGAGATCTCGCTCGCTGTCAACAGCAGCGTATCGGACACAACTGGATTCAACCCCGCCTTCCTTTTCCAAGGACGGGAGCCACGCCTGCCCAACACACTTTACGACGAGGTGACTCCAGGACAAGGGACAGCCTTGATCCCCCCGGAAGAGAAGAGCCAACA